TACGAGTTCCAGAAGTCTTAGTACTGATGTCATCCATTTCTCCTGTCTTGCTGATGAAGGAAGGACAAAATGTCTTTGTAAATTCATTAAAAGCATTAAGAAGTATGCAATAATCATACTAAAAAGAAATAGAATCACTAAGATCAAATATAATTCCAACATGAGTAATGCTAAAAGATTAGGATGTTTCTAATTAATGCAAATTAAACAGTATGCATTTTTGTCAGACAACACAAGAAAAACGTGTTGTCAAGCAGCATATAAAAGTAGCCCATGAGGACAGTGAAGGCATCATGGCTGTGCAGACAGCATGAGTGCTGCTCAACATGTGGAGGGAAGCAACAATCACTGCCAAAATAAACAGTTTAATAAATTACACATCATTGCTGAAAGATGTGTTTACAGTCAGTTTCATGAGGAAGTAGAACTCAGTCCCTCCAGGATTTTGCCGACTTGTTTGTAGTTATTATGGCCTAAAATGTTTGATTTCATGGAAACTTTTTCAAAAAGTTGCTATGTTTTGAAGCTAGTAAAAATGACTCAATGAAAAATACACATCAACAAAAAAATTAGCATTGTGTCAAAAGTCAGGGTTTTGATTTCAGAATCAGCCAGACCACGAGTGTAAAAACAAAACAAAAACAATAAAACAGTTTTATTGATATTGGCAGCTGCAGGAGGAAGTCAGGATCAAAACTGAGAGAACAAGTCTTCACAGGCAGGTGGGGTGAGACCCACCTGACAGAGTGTGCAGAGGTGACGTCACCGGTACTGGTTGCAGGACAACTACGCCGGTACTGGTTGCAGGACAACTACGTAGGAGCGTTGTGATGAATGTGGTCTGTAGGGCAAATCCAAGAGTGGGGTCTGAAATACAAAGCGGGAGTCATGCACAGGTAGTCAGAGGTCCAAGAACAAATCCAAAAGGTCAATCCATAATCCAAAATCCATAGGCAGAAAAATGTAGTCATACTAGGGTCAGATGGGCAGAACGGAATCAGACGAGGAGCAGGCAAAAACAGTGAATCCACAAGACGAGGCGTGAGGTTGAAAATCCAAAGAACAAGGAGTGAATGTCAGATGTGACCAAGAACAGAATGACTGGATAATCAGATACCACGAAGAGGTACGATAATCTGGCAGATTGGAGTGGTGAGAGGAGTCCTTAAATATGGAACAGAACAGGTGCAGTGGATTGGGGCAGATGAGCAGAAAGTGCAGAGGGGGCGTGGCAGAGTGACAGAGCAGCAGATCATGGCATGAAAAGGCTGAAACATGACACATTGTTATAAAAAATAATCAAAAAATAGTTTGTACTCATCAAATTCTTCAAATACATACAAATGTTTTTGTTTGTCCTAAAATAATGTAGCTGACACTTGTTTAGTTATTGGTGAGTCTGACTTCTTTTTGTGTTGCACGAATTGTATTCCAATGGTGATTAGATTAACAGATCTCATGTTGTGTGGTGTGCAGAGTGGGTCCACTTCTCACTATTCAGCAGGTATCTGATCTGGATAAAAGCGATAATGAGAAAATGGTTTATCTCTGGTTTATGGTTAAGGGGTCTGATCTGAGTGGGACACCCGGTTTGTAAATCTAGTCCTAGGTGGTATAGAGTGGCTGTCTAAACTGAAGCCCATATTGTCCAAAAATAACCTGGAGACAGTAATACATGCATTCATTACATCTAGGCTTGATTACTGCAATTCGCTCCTGTTTGGTATCAGTCAGACCTCCATTGCACGACTACAACTGGCCCAGAATGCAGCAGCCCAATTTTTAACCAGTACAGGCAAAAGAGAGCACATTACACCAGTTTTGGCCTCACTGCACTGGCTACCGGTTCACTTTCGAATCCAGTTCAAAATACTCATGTATGTCTACAAATCACTGAACAGTCCCCCCCC